CCTAGGAAAATTACTATACAGGCACTATGTTCAGACAAGGATACAGATGCCCTCTACCTCTAATTTTCAAAGAATTTGCATTGCTGCTTGCTAAATCTCTGTTAGGGCTAGGCTTTCCCTGCCCACTTTGAGAAGACAATTTTAAACACACTCTCCACTACAGAACAGTTTTATGTACATCTTTATCACATCTAGAAGGTCTTCAGCAGCACTAGTGGCTGAGTCTATCCCAGTGCCTGGATGAGAGAAAAAGTGGATAATATCGCAAACTGTGTAGCGAAAGAAAGCACTAGGTTCTAAGAGTCTTAGGGTAGCTATGAAGTACCCTCAACTATCACCCGCCTTCATTCATTCCCCATTAGCAAAATGACAAAACATGCAAGCAGTAACTAATGAATTGAGGCAGTGAGACACGTTAAGTATGTTAGTGATCAGATTATATGATGGAACACTAGTAAGTAACATCTCATCGTCCCTGAAATGTGTAAAGCCTTTAGTTGAATATTATATTTGACAGTATTAATCCTGCTGGATTTTTATTCCAATCAGTATCACACTATTATTTTATGAAAAGTAAAATAAGATTCTTTAACTGTGAAAATAAGCACAGCCAGACTAATCAATCTGTTTTTTAGGCTGAATATTCCCAAGTGTGTACTAATTCCATTGACTAAACAAGATCAGAGTAAACTAGCCAGTTTACAGGCAAGACCTTATATTGCTCATCAGTCAGCCTGGAAAAAAGAAGTATGTACAGATCATATTAAACTCTGTATTTTATATCATAAGCAGTTTGAGGAAATTAATTTATATTCTGTTGGTAGAGTTCTAATATATGGCACAACTACATGTCCCTTCTTTAACTTGAGAATGACGGCTAACTGTTCTTGAAGAAGATACCTCCAAATAAGCCTTCTTCTCATCTTCAGCCCATTGCCGATGCCAAGTGACTGGTTGTTCTGAGCCAGAATTTAAATGGTGTTTTTCAACATTTCCTGGCAGAAGCCTTGATCTTGGATGATATGTTGCAGTTTGGCAGCAATAAACCGGTTATACAATAATCCGCCCGACATCTATTGGCTGCTTCGCTAGTAAAAGAATGTTGTTCCACTCCACTGTCCTAAGCACAGCATGTCGGTAGCCGTGCTGGCAGGTTGTGGCCCCTGTGATCTGATGACATTCTATGCAGGGATCCCACAGATCCTCTATATAGTGTGTCAACATCCATGCCAGCAAGTCACACGTGATGGCAGCCCTTGGCTATAGTAGGAAAGTCTTCCTGATATATCCAGAGCTGCAGCCTAGTGTGAAATGTTAGCATAACATTAAATTATGCTGATAAATTGTGGGAGTCTGGCAGTGGATTAGGAACAGAAAATTCATGCAGACATGTTTTGGACTGGAGGACCATTAAACTGGCTTTATGGAACTATACTTGTCTCTATTAGTATTAGAAAAGCATTTTAAAGTATTTCCAGAACTCAGGTGCTCCTCTCTGCTGTTCAACATAGACAAAATACCATTAGCTCTTCAGCCTAATTAAGAAAACTTAATTTTGATATTTGAATCAAGAAATGGTTTTAAATCAGATTTGCATTAACATAGCTTTGGCCTAAACAGCTTTGAACTGAATTAAATGTCTACTTGACCAGCAGCAGGTCTAAGCATTCCCCTTCCTATAAGGGCAAAACAAGATGTGCTTCGACCGGACCTTGCAGACTTTAGTCCAGGAGAGGACAGCAGAAGATTGCCTCTGTGCTGTAACACAGTTGAAACTTTAAGTGCCTACCCAAAGGCAAAGGAAGCTGGCAATTCATAGCTGTCTACAAGCTGGAGGAAATGTTTGAGATGTATAGGCTTACCTTGTCCTGACCACGTGCTGGATTTAAGAAATGTAAATGAGGTCAGAGTCCACATGCTACTTCCAGGACATGTTATGGAAACCACATATTTATTATGGTTGGGCAACCTGGTAACTCAGTGTGTTGATCCTGGCTGAGAGAAAGACTGAAGGTACTTCAGTAGTGCAGGAGCAGATCCACAAATCCCACTATTTTTTCTAGTCCATAGCTAGAAAAGACCACCAGAACTTCTTTAGCCTTAGTATATTGCTAATGCAAGCTTTTGCCACACTTTTAAATTCCAACCTGGATTAGGAGAGGAGACCAAGGGATTGACTTTGACTCTCCTTTTGAGGTCATTGAAGTTCACTACAATTCATCTGGCACTGAACTAAGCAAAATAACCTCTGCTTGTCTGTATAGTTAAGATCAATCATATTTGTAATGTGGAATAAGTGGCATAAAGTGCTTGTCTTTTGAATTATGCATCTGAATCAATGTTGATTGAAATGCTAATTTCCAATGCTTTTCCTTTACAGTTAGATATTATGGAAACAACTAAAATGAAGGCTGAAATTCAGGCTTTGACTTCATTTTCAACAGATTATCTTTCCAGAGTATATTTGCCAAACAAGCTGCAATTTGGTGGATGGATATGAATATCTGGACAACCTTTTAAAGTTTTTTTTTAATGAACATTTTGAAACAATAGAAATGAAAAAAATTAAAAAAGAAGATATAGAACATATAAGAAAACAAAAGATAAGGTACAGATCATTATCCCTAATGGACTGTAATTTATTTCAGACAGATCTTACAAACTTTTCAGTCATGTAAAATACATTTCTGTGTGAATTAGTATTTCTTTTTAATGTTCTTTTCTGTTAGGAATGATCATTTCCTATCTATATTAACATTTTTCATACATTTCATAATAAATTACATGTTCCAAAAAGAAAAATACAGAAGACAAAAGGACAAGTTAATATTTTTAAAAAGGTATTATCACAATTTACTAGTTAATTAAAATACTTGTTCTGGATCTGTGTTGAGTAGTCTTTTAAAAATCTGATATAAAAACTAGAATGAATTTAGTGGGAATGTTAGCCGTTAGTTATCATTACTTCTTTGTTGTTTAGTCGTTAAGTCGTGTCCGACTCTTCGTGACCCCATGAACCATATTGCGCCAGGCCTTCCTGTCCTTCACCACCTCCCTGAGTTTGCTCAGTTTCATGCTCATTGCTTCAG